AATGATCATATTCAGTAATGATTCCAAAGCAGCATTCCCCAAAGGGTATAATATACATAACCTGAAAGTTTCAGATTCAGAAGAAATGAATTAACAATATTTGTCAAGAATGATTATAACGCAGATTTTAATGAGATATCTTTTTTGAAAAAGAAAATAGAACTTGAATTGTCGAAAAAAATTAGAAAGGGTGTAACTGATCTTTTGGAAGGGATACCTAAAGAGACTGAACCTAGAGGTATTAGCGAGACAAAAAAAAGAGAATTATTAGCACTGTGCAAATCAATGCCTCAAACAAGGACATTTTTTTATGAAAATCTTGTTGTCTCGGAATCATCCGATCTTGACGTACACATTGACACAGATTTAATATAGTAAGTAAACCTAAGACCTCAAAGTAATTCAAAGACTGATTATATCAATAAAACATGGATCTCATCATTAAATTGTTCCATATTTTATATGCGTTGTTAGTTTTATAATGACTTTATTAACTTTTAGTTAATTTTTTTTGCTTCAGTTGTTTTAATTAAGATTTGATTCGAAGAGATAATGATGATAAAGATGAATGAGTTGACCTTTTATTAATTTCGTATTTTTGTTTTATTTCATTAAATATTTGCTTAATATTTTAATCTTTCGTGTTATTGTGACTTGATTGATATTTTTAAATTGTTTCATTGATTAATTTTAATTATATTTATTTGATTTAAAAAGATTTCATTACTTGAGCATTTAATTTTTATTGTTTTTATTTTAATAATTTTTTTTTTGTAAATTGAGTTTTATTGTCTTTGACCTAAACAAAATTGAACATGCAAAATACACAATGTTATTGCAAACTGTAGTTAGTATTGTTAATGTTCTTTCGGAAGCCTTATTATAGCCTGTTATTGTTAAAGTAATACACTGTATTTGAAAATACAGTATTTTTGTATGATCCATTAGCTGTGTTCTCATAAAACCAATACACTGTAACAAATTATACAGTGTTTTGCTCAAACAATCTGGAACATTTCTTTAAGTTTTATAGAGATAATACACGTTTACTTAGTTAATTCTAACTGTATGGATTGAATTGTTGTAAAATGTACATGGCTAGATAAAACGTAAAAATACTTTTAATTTAGTACCTATTATATAATATAATGTTATTATAATATTACTAAAACATACCAAAAACCAAAAAAAGTTTTAAAAGCCCTTTTCACGAAATGGGTATTTCCGAGATACAGTGTTTTGGATTCACACGTCAGAGCTGCTCGTAAGTCACTTCCTTACCGAGAGCTTCCAAAACAGTTAAGGCCTGGTCGCGCAGGCCTAGGGTGAGAGCAGTCATGGCCTGACTTTCATTCCAGCCGTTCGCCTTCATGACAGCCTCGAATTGGATTTTGTAGGCCAACCAGGAAGAAGTCCCGTCGAACGGCGGCACTTTGAATCCACGTAGCGAAGGTGTTGTAGCTACCATGGGAGCTGTCACTCCATCTCCAAGTTTGAGCTCGTCCAGCGTTTTCTTCACGTCAACCATCACGTTGTCAACCCGATTGTATACTTGGTCGATTTGGGTTTCAGCTTCCGACAGGCGGTTGTCATATTGAGCTACCTTATCCTTCACCTCCCTTATCTCTTTCCCGATGAGAAGTATCTGCTCTTCCTTATCGCATTTGAGCCACTCTTCCAACCGACGGCCCTGTTCCTCCTGTTGGCGAGCCTGTTCTTCCTGTTGGCGGGCCTGTTCCTCCTGTCCGCGCTGCAGCTGCTCTTCCAACCGACGGGCCTGTTCCTCCTGTCGGCGAGCCTGTTCCTGCAGCATCATCATCAGAGCACCTAAGTCAGGTGCTGCAGATGCAGGAGCTGCTGACGGGCTGGCCTCTGTGGTCAGCAGCTGGCCCTCCGATGTTTGCGGCGTTGCATTATCAAATCAGCTCTGGTCCGTCTCCAGCTGGCGTTGACTTCGGGTACGGATATCCTCCATGTCGTCCTTTGGTAAAACCGGCATGATTTGATCCCACTTCTGACACCAATTGTTAGGAGCTTGGGGTTCGAGACAATTAAAAACTGCCGATTGAATTACCAAAATTGACACTTTAATTACAGAACACTAATTATAATTTAAACCATACAAATAATAAAACACAGTTGTACTACTGATCACTTTGGTTCGCAATTATTTCGCTTCGAAGTATTTCGCTTGTATCGCCGATTCAATACTGACTCGATCGTGGTCTATACCGGCCTTATATAGGACCTTAGATAGTTTCCAGAACCTTCTACTGTAGCGACATCTAGAATGTTCGAGTACATATCGGTCCCGAAATTTTTATAAGGATCTTGACTCACCTAATTCTGCTACTCGACACTAGAGGGCGCTAGTGGTAACTAGTGTTGCCGTGTACAAGACATTAATAGTGGCGCGCAACAATAGTAAAAAAAAACCTTAGGCACAGCGCTAGATTCGGAACAGTTTCCGAATAGCCGAATTTTACTAGAAAAACTTCAATGAATTACATTGAACTGCTTTTTGGGAAGAAATGCTGGCAGCTTTCAAGTCATAAAATCTCCAAAATTATATATCCTGCACAAAAATCATCGTAGATTTTTGTCAGATTTTGACAAAAATCTACAATGATTTTTCTGACGGATAAATGATGACGTTAACAGAGTGTAAGGCTGAATAATACTAAAAGTTACGAGAATATCATCCATTGCTATGTAGCGATGGTCTAGTTCCTCGTAAAATCTGTCAAGATATTCTAATATAGCTCTTTGCAGCTCCTCTGGCAATGTTAGTCCAGCATATCGGGTCATTTCTCCTGGTAAACGTTTTCGAAATCTCCTCATTCCTCTTCTTCCTTCAATCGAAATGTCCACATTCTCACATTTTTGTTACGTAGGAAATAGCTTTTTCCAGTAATTGAATACGTTGGCTTTGAAGAAAAATTTTTGGGCTTTGGTTTTTATCACATACTTTTCCAGTGATAATCTAGATTATTATTTTATTATTTAGTATTTACTTTTGTGTCTGACTAACTTATTTTAGGAGTTTACACCAAAAGGAAAGATCACTGAAGTTACACAAAGCTGGTAAGAGTGTAGATGCTGCTTCTCTAGTATCGACATTTTTTCTGTTATCCATCTTGTCTCTGAGAGTCTTTCGACGGATACGCCTACACTTTTCATTAAAGTTTCCCATTGACGTGTGGATGATGAAAAGAACCTGTAAACTCGTTCTACTGTTCCGAAAAAAAGTTAATCTTGAACTAACGCTCCCTAAGTGAGTGCACTCCACATAGATTTAGCGAATGATTAGCACAAGGCGTTTTTTACGTGGTAGAGCCATGCTGCATCTATATTAGTAGTATAGTTGTAACACAAATGGGTCGGCTCGACTGGGGAAGAAGCACGCTCTCACAGAATACCAGCGTAAAATAGCAGCTCATCACTGATGTATTATTCGTATGGTGAGAGTAGAGAACCGGAGACCCTTTTTACTGGAAGAGAGGCATTCCATCTTAGTCCTCACGGGTGACAACGCAACTGCATTTTAATTCGCAATTGAGGATAGATGTAGATGTCTATGGTGAAATTCGTATTTTAGTGTTGTTTTTTCGTGTTACTTAATAATATGCTTAATTGAAATACAATATGGAATATACCAACTATGATTAGCGATAAAAAATGTAAGATTATCGTTCTAGCATACGTCTAAAATATTACTTTAAGTCAATAACTATCTAAACGTTGGTAATGTTTTTATTTTGTGTGTCATTCATCATTAGAAGGAGTGAAATACAAAACTCGGAGCCTCTCTTTCTAAGAAAAATGAGGAACGGTTACAATGTTCCAAGCGCTCACTTCCTATATTATATTATAACCTCCTTGGTCTGTGGTGATCAGCGTAGTGTTTCTATATCGTAGATAGATGATTGACAATTTAGGAGTCCAAATATTTGTCAAAATACATGACAAAGGATATTAAAAACATGAAACGGTACATTTTATATTCAAAACAATGGATATTATTCAATATAATTGGTACAAAAGAAGCTTATCGATGAAAGGTAATATTTTCAGTTTTTTGTTGACTGATGCTGTTGCATCCTAAAATGCTACAACTTACCATCTTTTTCACCTTACCTAATAACAAAAACCCACAATAAACACTAAATTCAATTACCTGTTTGCTTATAATATCAATGTTATTCACAAAAGCTTGTCATCGTTTATGTCAATTGTCAAATAAGGGAGGGAAAACAATCAAAAACTCATATCTAGAAAAAGACAAGAAATACAGTTTTGCTTCTCCCTTACTCTTATGTCTAACTATATACGTGCATTCCTTTCACACGCCGATGACGTCACTGCATGTTTAGTCTATAAGTCTATGATGTTCTATTTTTTTTTTGGAGTTTATGGCCTGGTATCTAGACCCTTAGGCCAAGTCTTGAGTATTTTTATTCGGTTTATTATAATTTCCCAAATGTATAATTATCCTTCATAGTTCACTGCTTCACAATATGTTGATGCGTCACATTGTGCAGCCCTTGGGAGATTTTGACGGCAACTTGAGCCAGCAGACAGCTGACAGTTGGCGATGGTATCTAAAGGCGCCTATGCAGACAAACAGCTTATCTTGAGAATCCATCACCATCAGAGCACTTGTTTCACCGTTTCCACTAATAGTTCACATGCGTAGACAGTTAATACATAAAATCGCACCACTTTTACATATCAAAATCCACTTCAAACTATTATTTAAACTATAATACAGGAGCAGCAAACCGCCGCCGGTAAAGTTCCCGCCAAAACTCCTATGATGTTCTATATAGTTTGTGACCACAGATAAGAGTAAGAGCGGTGATGACTTATGACACTGACAAATAAAATAAATATAACAGGCTGGTCAATAAAATGACTAAAATTATGAATGGGTATTTCATTAATGTGTTAAACGCTAACTTATAACTTTAAAAACGAATAGGTAACATTGTTTAAACATCATGAATTATAAAGATTGCTGTCGAACATGCCTTGGTGGCCATAAAGAGATGCGCCACATGCACACGAAGATTTCAATAGCAGGCGATAGCGTTCGTTTGTCAGATATTTTATTTAATTTTTATAATTATAAGGTAAATATTATTGGCATTAACCATACCATTAAACTACATACATTTATTAATGTATAATATATTTTAGTATTTCGTCCGACGAGTTCATGATATTTAAATTTCAGATAACTGAAGATCCTTTATTACCAGTGAATATTTGTATTACCTGTGTACACCAGCTTACTATAACTTATTCCTTCAAAATTCTCATAGAGTCAAGTGCAAAAACTTTAAAAGAAAGTAATTTATTAGATTGTTCCACAAGTGAAAATTTTGATTGCAGTTTAGAATCAGATGATCAGAAAGTTATTAAGGATATACAGAGGCGTCAGCGGCATATAAAAAGAAAAGCAACCAATAAAATACAAAATAGTACAAAGTATGACAACCAAAGTAAAGAGTTATATTGTGTTGAATGTAAAGCAATGTTTAATTCTGTGAAAGGTTTAAATGAACATTGCATGAACAGTCATCCAGTTAAAAACGTTATAGGAAGAGACTGTGAATTTTGCAATGAGAAATTTGAGGATTTTCGCTCATTAGTACTTCATAGAAAATTACACTTAAAACCATTCCTATGTGAAAATTGTTGGGAAGGTTTCTACAGTACAAATGAACTGCATTCCCATTCTTGTCAACCAAATTTAGATATCAAAGATAAAAACAAATCAGAAAGGGTGTTACGACAATGTGATCAATGTGGAAAATCATATCCGCCAGGCTACATTCGGATTCATATGTTGACACATAGCAATGATCGCCCTTACAGTTGTAAATTTTGCCCAAAAAAGTTTAAAGTGCCTGGTGGCCTACATTCACATGTGCTCTGGAATCATAAGAGAACTAGGAACCATAAATGTGAGGTTTGCAATGCAACTTTCATTTCATCAAGTTCACGTAGCTCACACATACGTAAGAATCACCTGAAAGAGAAGAAATATGGTTGTGAAAGTTGTGGTAAAAGGTTTTTCTCAAAGTCAGAATTGCAAAGACATTCTTTAACACACACCGGTGTCAAAAATTTCCATTGTCATTTGTGTGACAAGTCATATCAAACACGATATGGATTAAATGTCCATTTAAAGTCTCATTCTGAAATATGTATGAATGTAATGAATTTGTAAATATTTATTGCAAGGTAATTAGAATAGATATAAGTACAAATTATTGATATGATCTCAGTTAAAAAAAGTATTAAAAAATTAATATATTATTTACTACATACATTTTTTACTTTTATTTTTACCTCTGGATTATGCCTACCCATAGGGTGGGTAGGGTAGCCACTCAGGTTTTGCTTAGCTTAAATTGTGAAAGAAGTGATAGGTGACTAAACTTTGCATACACAATCACAAACTCAATCCCATTTGTCACCTTTTATAACATGCAATATTGACAAGTAACAGTTGGGACATTCTGTAGCATAGAGCAACACAAAAACATGTTTATGTCATACATTGGTAATGAATAAAAAAAATATTGAAACACCTAGTGATAATTGGTAGATACTGTTGCCAATCATTGAGACCCCTTTGGACTAAAGTAGAATGCCTCATTTACAGTAAAATGGGTCTCCAGTTCTCTCCACTCATACAAAACACAGCAGCATTAAGCTTCTATTGGACTAAATCAGGCGGAATTTTGTCTGGAGGCATACGATAATAAAATTTATAATTTAATAAAAAGTAAAAGTTCACTTCTAAGAAGTAAACTGTATAAAATAATTTCACATCCAAGTATCATAAAAACTTTTTCTATTTTCCCTAAGGTGAAGAATAGGGACAATCTATAATAACCTATTTAATATAACAAAGGATCATTTAAATCAATTAACAGTTGAATATAATATATAGCATAACAAACACAGCAAAGTGACAATCCCAATAGCAGGAGTCCTGCACCTTAGATGCTGCACCCCATTGTTTGTCTGATTGTTTTACAAGATAAGAAGCTTTCTGGTATTTAACACAATCGTCTCACACAATTTTTATGATCACCCATAGGTTGGTACCGGGTGATAATTTATATTAATATATGCCTAGCCTATAAGCAGCTATTTTATCTATTCATCTCTACAAATAAATAAAATTGAAGTGTCTGTTTGAATGTCAAAATAATATACTTTTATTAAATGCATATGAAAGTATATATAGGTACGGTGGGTACTTAAAACAATTTTAAAATTATTTGTCTATCTGTTTGTTCCGGCTAACTTCCAAAATGGTTGGACCGATTTTAACGGGAATTTCATTGGGAGATAGCTGATGGTATAAAAATTTACTTAGGCTACTTTTATTTTAGAAAAACAATTATTTTAGCGCAAAAAAAATCAAAATCCAACGTAAGGTACGTTGGGGTAAGATCGGTGATGGGGCAAGACCGTAGGATTCAAATTCCCGGCGAATTATGCTATATTTTGAAAAGCTAACAATATGCTACACGACGCCATTTCATCCTGCCTCGACCCTCAGTTCGCGCCAGTCACTCCGGCAAGTGGGACCTGTGCTGCGTAGCATTTTATAAAACAATGTAATTTTTGTATTATTTTTGTCCATCCGATCTTTCCCTATCGCTTTTAGTTTACGATTTTTAGCGAGAATATGGCTTCTTTTGTTATTATTTTGTGTGGATACTAATTTTTATGAAGTTATAGCTAAATAAAGCTGGTCCATGCAGGGGTAAGATCGCCGTAGGCCGAGATCCGATGTTTCCCCTCGTGAGTGAAGATCGGATGAATATTATCCGATCTTTGCCTGTTACAAATATGGCAGTGGTTGTTAAACTTTCATTGGCCGTGTATATTTTTTCGTTGATTACTCAAGTGACTATGAGACTCAGTCTCGTTAGCAAGTCTGTATATTTAAAAGTAATAAAACAATACGATGGTTTTATTACTTTTAAGTACACATTAAAATACATTTTTTTTATAGGATAAGGGTGACAAAGGAGCACACAGTTAACCTGATGTTAAGTGATTGCTGCGGCCCATAGACATCTATATCTATCCTCTATTACAAATCAAAATGTAATTTATAATAATTATTTAAAAAATAATTTATAATAATAAATGCCGCTTTGTTAAAATATTTATATCTTCCTTAACTCTTGCATTATCCCAGGGCATTTCGCCAGTCCTTACTGTTATTTTTTTCCCATATAAAATCAAATGCATCCGATCTTTCACTTATATTGAGTAATTCCATCTTATGTCATAACAAAGTTTGAGAAACATAAAATTACAATTTCTTTATACCAGGGATAAGATCGGATGGCAAGAAACAAAAAAAGAGAAAATCGTTTGGAACATTTATGTTTCTAGTAATTTATAGATCATATTGAAATATGTTTTTGAGCATTAAAGATAGGACAAATCTCTTTTATAAACTTTTTTCTCTAAGCAGTAGAAGTGGTTTTAAATTTAAGTCCGGTCTTACCCCTTAATGGCCAATTTTTCATTATGCATATAAAAAAGTATGTCTAGTTTTCGCACACCTTTAAAGCAGAAACCGTTGAGTTTACACAAGCAAAAGATTCTCAGAGCTAAACTACGTTTAACGATTAACGGTTTGCTCCATGTTCCATAAATCTGACGTATACGAATGTCGAGAAATTAAAGTTTTTGGCAGACTCTTCCAACTATTCGAAAATCCGTCCGGTATTACCCCAACGTACCTTAATAAATTTCACGCGGACGAAGTCGCGAGGAACAGCTAGTACCTAAACATACATGGCGAATGTATTATTCTTTGGGTCGTAAGAGCAATTATTACAAAAATAAAACAATATATCTACCTACTCTGTTTTTTTGAATTACCTTAGTGCATTGAGTTATATAAGACGTGTAATATATAAATCAATGCCATAGTGCATAAAATATGCAAGATGGCAAAACATAAAAAATAATTTCGTAAACACCTGCCCTTGAATCGCAAAGTCTCTGCGGTAGCACCAGTTGGCTTCGATTGCGTACCGGTACGCCCGTTTAGGGCCACCACATACATTCGGAATTCTGTTTCGGAATATCCATTAAATAGTTACATACATAGTAAATACATCATCACACACATACGTTATTGCTGTATCATTGTTACTGGGGATCGCCTTAACATTCTAAGATTGCAATATGTTAATATTATCTAATAAGAGACAAATTACGAGCCTATCTAGAATTTTTTCAAATACTATCGGATGTCTATAAGCCCTTTCGACGAATTATTGAACAAAATAAGAGGAAAGATACGAAAAGAGATACACATATAAAATTACATTTTAAAACATACATAAACACAGCTACTCGCTTCGATGGTGCGACGCACTTTGGACGCGTTCCGTTTCGTACGGAATTTACTAATGTGTGATGCGAATTATACAAAATCTATGGAAGACTTGCGTTTGCAACGGCTTTTTCTGTGCGGGATTCCGAACGCACAGGCAATCATGCAGCATTTCAATCTAAGAAAATTTCGAACGGAAAACTACTGTACGTGTGTGATTTTCCTTGATTTTATATGGATTAGCTGCATTCGGAATCCAGAATCGATATTCCGAAATGGTTTTTCGAAACGAAATTCCGACTGTATGTGACTGGCCTTGGAGCGAAGTCAGTAGAATGAAACTAGAAGTAGCGAGTTCCGAACGCAGATCTTCTATAGATTTTGTATGAGTCGCATTACACATTCGTAAATTCCGTACGGAACGCGCTCAGTATTTGTCGCACGACCGATACGAGTATGCGTTATTATGTATATTTTTACATGTTATCTTATATGTGTATCTCTTTTTGCAACCGTTCATCTCATTTTGTGTAATAAATAGTCCTGAGTTTATAGAAATCCATATTTAAAAAAAATTCTGGATAGATAGATCTTTCTACATAATATTGACTATCTTGCAATCTTAGGGTGTTAAGGGGATGCACCCAGTAACAATGATACAGCAACAATGCAATCGCAATCAGAAAATCGTCATCCATATTCGCTGGCAGAATATCTGGTCTCAATGCCTAGCGTCTCTCAACCGAGCCTCATTATTCCGAAGGGAAAGAAACGTATATATGTGATGTATTTACGTAGTCCCGAATGGTTACTTATTCCGGAACGGCTTTTCGAGACGGAATTCCGAATGTATGAAGCGGCCCTAGGAGTGTCACGTACACGGAATCAGTTGCACGCGTTTGGTGTTCACCCAACTACACGATATTACTCTAATATAAAGGTATCTATTTACTTTAAATATGCGTACCACCTGTGCTGTATATGGTTGTGCGTCAACGTCGTACTGTAACAATAGTGGAGAATTGCGTTTTCATCAATTTCCAAAGGATAAGGAGAGGTACGTATGTAAATCGCATATAGATAACTTACCTTCTAGAAATTTAACTAAAGGTTGAAATCTACTTAAGTATCTACATTCATCTAGAAAGTTCATATTTTCTGTTGAAATACGTACTTACTTTAGGTTTAAGTACAAAGGTACTCTGTGGTACTTACTTAATCATATTTTTTAAATAATATTTTTGGCTTGGATGCTTGTCTTTTAAGCTACGTTTTAGTGATGGGTCAACTCAAGTTACCGTAAAATTGGGTGAATAAATACAACTTTCAACTTCTACACTGTTTTTCTTACATATATTGTGTATAATCTGATAATAAAACTCCTTAATGTTGTGAGTCTTGTTGTAGTTTATCGAATACTAATGCTTCAAACGAGTGAAAACATGCAAATTCGACATTTTAGAAAATAGTAATCGGTTTCTGTATTCCGGATATCCGGAGTGAAAAGAAACGACATAGGGGTGAATAGAGAAAAAAATGGCTAGAGTTGTCAAAAGTGCTTTTGTTGTAGTATTTAGGTACGGGAGTTGTGAGTCAAATGAAAGGAAACATAACTACATCAAAATTGTCATTATAAAAAATAATTAGTTAATAAATATGATATTTATACGATTCCATATTATATAAATTAAAAATATTAGAGTAATTTAATTTAACTGCTTTGCAGCGTAAGCATTTCCGACATAAAGCCATTGGATAAATAAGCCACTGCTTACATAGTTTTGAACATATTTTTTTAAGTAATGAAAATAATAATAAAATAAAATGTTTCAAAGTTTGCTAAACTATATAACACTAATTATAATACTACGTGTTTTGATTAATAACCTTTGATTATTTTAAGTTGTAGGTAACAAGACAAGATTAAAAACCACTATTACCTACTTATTTATAGAATTATGTAACCACTAAACATAAATGCACATTTGTACTCACACGTTTATAATAACCGCCCTTTACTTTACTGTCATCACAATTGACACTAATTTAAAGGTTACCAAAATAAAGGGAAAATGTTGGCAAATAATAAACAGTAATAATAAACAGACGTTCCCGAGCTGTAGACAAACCTAGAGACAAATTTATCAAATAACCAGACTTGGTCTATTCACCCCGCGATTTCTATTCACCCCATTTTACGATAACTAGAGTTGCGCTTAACTCGAGTTAACTCGAGTTCGATCTCCATAACTCGAGTTTGGGCTGTTGTACATGAACGGATCAAGTGAGCCAGCTAAAGAGTAAGAGCGCGATTCGTTCGTTGTGTGCGCGCTTTGTGTTTCAAATAGTATTTATCTACAACCAAAACAATTTATTATGTAGAATTTTATAATAGCTAAGTTATGTAATTTTATTTCTTTTATAATTAATTATGATCAATATAGTTATGTTAGTTACAGATCTATTATTGTAATACCCGAAAAGGGTGCTTAAGTTCTAAGATACATCATATTTTAAATTAACGCCAAATGTAACACTGAACTTACAATAAATATTTTGAATTTGAAAAGAAATTAATTAAAAAGAAATAAAAAGATATATTCAGTATGTGTCGTGTAGTGGCGGTCAAGAATATCGACTACCCCATATCCTCCCGTGGGTGTCGTAAAAGGCGACAAAGGGAAACAGGCAGGAGATGGGCAGCAGCATCTTCTTGATAACAACAAACTAACAATAAAAAACTGCGGTTGCCAACCCGCTCGCCAAGCGTGGCAACTATGGCAAATACCTCCCTATGAATGACAGTAACAAAGAAACGGCCCCCAGTCCCCGGAGGCCCCGCTATTCCTGGCTACGGTGGCGACCATGGTAACGGCGGGGCAGGGGGTGCTAAGAATCTCCGGTGGAGGTTCGGTTGCCACCTTAGATGACTCGACCTGGCAACGTACAACGCACGCACCCTGAGGACTGACGAGAAGATTGTGGAGCTGGAAGAAGAGATAGACAAGTTGCGCTGGCATATTATAGGATTATCCGAAGTCCGAAGAGAGGGGGAGGACACGGTAATCCTCGAATCCGGCAACTTGCTCTATCACCGGGAGGGCGACCATCTGTCCAAAGGAGGTGTCGGATTTATCATCCACAAGTCTCTCGTTAACAACGTTGTAAAGATCGGGAGTGTGTCGACGAGGGTTGCGTACCTTATACTCAGAATCACCAAACGGTATTCGCTGAAGGTCATACAGGTTTACGCACCAACCTCGGCACACCCCGATGAGGAGGTGGAGGAAATGTATGAGGATATCTCTAGAGCCATGCATTCCTCCAAAACCCAATATACGGTGTTAATGGGAGACTTCAACGCAAAACTAGGCACAAGAGAGAACGGTGAGCTGAAAGTAGGGAAATTTGGAATAGGGCAACGGAACCCAAGGGGCCAGCAGCTGGCTGACTTCATGGAGAAAGAGGGACTCTTTATGATGAACTCTTTCTTCCAGAAGCGGCCCCACAGGAAGTGGACCTGGTAGAGCCCCGACGGTTCGACAAAAAATGAGATTGACTTCATTATGACGACGAGACGACAACTGTTCAGTGATGTCTCCGTGATCGCGAGGGTGAAAACTGGTAGCGATCACCGAATGGTTAGAGGCACACTGAACCTAAACGTTAAGTTGGAGAGGTCTTTTTTTTATAGGATAAGGGTGACAAACGTGCACACAGTCCACCTGATGGTAAGTGGTTGCGGCGGCCCATAGACATCTACATCTATCCTCGTTTGCGAATCAAAATGCAGATTCGTTGCCACCCGTGAGGACTAAGATGGAATGCCTCATTTCCAGTAAAAAGGGCCTCCGGCCACCTGCACTCACCAAGCGAAACGCAGAGGTAAACCTCTACTTCACGCTGGTATTCTGTGAGGTCGTGGTACCACCCCGGTTCGAGCCGGTCCATGCGTGCGACAGCAAAAGCTGCCGCGTGGCTCTACCACTGTTAGAAAGAAGGTCTCGTCTAATGAAGTCAACGCTCCGTCCCCCTCGTGCTTTGTTCCAAAGTCCCGAAACCTTTCAGCTCGAGTTACAAAACCGTTTTCAGTGCCTAGAAGACTGCAATGAAGTGGACGATATGAATGACAAGCTCGTGGAAACTGTCCATGCGGTCGGAGCTAAGTTCTGCAAGACCCGCCGCAGAAGAACACAAAAACTCCGATCACACTCTTAATCTCATGGCTGTTAGACGGGAGATGAAGCTACATTCTTCAACAGACTTGACAGCATACAGGCATCTGAACAGACAGATCTCCAAATGCATGCGGCGGGACTTACGCAACTTCCATACAGCTCGTATTGAAGAAGCGATCGAGCGGAACCAAGGCTCCAAAGTCTTTGCCAGAGATCTGTCTGCCAGAAAGAGCCAACTGTCAAAGCTGAAGACAGAATATGGCAGCATCGTTTCCGGGACACCTGAGATTTTGAGTGAGATTGAGAGGTTCTATGGGCAGTTGTACACGTCATCGTTGGAGCCACACGCAAGTGTGAGTAACGATCCAAGAGCGAGTCTCATCCGACACTATTCCGAAGATATCCCGGACGTCAGTCTGAGCAAGATTGGAATGGCTCTCCAGCACCTTAAAAACGGTAAGGCCCCAGGCTAGGATGGAATTACAGCGGAGCTTCTGAAAGCGGGTGGAAAACCGGTACTTGAAGTCCTTCAGAAGCTCTTTAATTCCGTCCTCCATGGTGGCATTACACCGGAGGCGTGCAGCAGAAGTGCCGTGGTCTTGTTCTTCAAGAAAGGTGACAACGCTCTCTTGAAGAACTACAGACCGATTTCCCTTCTGAGCCGCGTCTACGTGCTGTTTTCGAGAGTCATTACGAATCGTCTCGCGCGCAGACTTGACGACTTCCAGCCTCTCGAACAAGCCGGTTTCCGAAAGGGCTTTAGCACCATAGACCACATACATACCCTTCGGCAAATTGTACAGAAGTCCGAAGAGTACAATTTGCCACTATGTCTGGCGTATGTGGACTATGAGAAAGCCTTTGATTCCGTCGATATTTGGGCGGTGCTGCAGTCCCTTCAGCGGTGCCAAGTTGACTGTCGGTATATCGAAGTGTTGAAGTGCTTGTACAATAGGGCTACGATGGCTATCCGAGTACAGAACCAGAGTACGAAACCTATCCAATTGCAGAGAGGTGTAAGACAGGGTGACGTCATATCCCCGAAACTCTTCACCGCTGCATTGGAAGACGTTTTCAAGCTTCTGGACTGGAAAGGATACGGTATCAACATCAATGGCGAGTACATCACTCACCTTCGATTTGCCGACGATATAGTCCTTATGGCAGAATCGCTGGAGGACCTAAGCACTATGCTCAATGACCTCAATAGTGTTTCCCAACGGATAGGTCTTAAGATGAACATGGACAAAACAAAGATCATGTTTAATGTCCATGTCACACCTATGCCGGTATTTGTTGGGAACACTAAGCTCGAAGTTGTTGACGAGTATTTTTACCTGGGACAAATAGTCCGACTAGGTAAGTCCAACTTCGACCGAGAGGTCAATCGACGGATTCAACTCGGCTGGGCAGCGTTCGGGAAGCTACGACACATCTTCTCGTCAGACATACCTCAAAACCTTAAAACGAAATTGTACAACCAGTGCGTGTTGCCAGTGATGACTTACGGAACTGAGACGTGGTCCTTCACTGCTGGTCGGATGAGAAAGCTCAAGGTCGCTCAGCGAGCTATGGAGAGGGCTATGCTCGGAGTTTCTCTGCGTGATAAACTTAGGAATGAGGATATCCGCAGTAGAACCAGAGTAACCGACATAGCCCAACGGATTAGTAAGCTGAAGTGGCAGTGGGCCGGCCATATAGCTCGAAGAACCGACAACCGATGGGGAAGAAAGGTTCTCGAGTGGCGGCCTCGTACCGGTAGGCGAAGTGTAGGGCGTCCCCCCACGAGATGGAGTGACGACCTGGTAAGACATACAGGAAGTCGATGGATGCAGGTGGCTCAGGACCGTGCTTTGTGGCATTCTTTGGGGGAGGCCTATGTTCAGCAGTGGACTTGTGAAGGGCTGTAATGATGATAATGTTGATGATCACACATACTGAATATACCTTTTTATTTCAATTCTACATAATAAATTTTGTAATTATTATAGTTATCCCAACCCACACAAGAGCTTGAGAGAAAAACAAATTTATAAAAAAGTTATTTGTAACAAATCACTTACTCTGTTTCGTACTGCTAACTCGATTTTAAACTCGAGTTGTGTGAATTTCAACTTGAGTTAACTCCAGTCGTAATTTTTCCGAGATGGCACATCTATACTACGTCTTCCTTTATCTCAATATCAATCTATTTCTAAATGTATATATATAATTTTAAATCACAAAGTAGACCTGTGCTTTGCTACGGAGGCAGCGCAGACATGGCGAACGCTCTGCCCCGGCGAAAATGTTGTACTAGAAGTTAACCAACAAAAACAGTGGGATATTCCGTTGGTACAGAACGTGCAGAAAGTTTTGTTTCATAATTTCCACAGGGACCAAGATCAGGCACGCCTTCTAGCTGTTTCGACTAAGGAATCTAGTCACTGGTTACACTCTTTACCATCAGGTAATCTCGGCACATTACTTGATGGAGAAAGCTTGCGCATCGCTGTAGGAATCCGACTAGGAGCGGCGATTTGTCAACCCCATCAGTAGCAGCGTCGACAAGTTTGGGCTCCACAGAATTTCATGTAAGAAAAGTGCTGGTAGGTTTTTACGGCACGGTTCTTTGAACGATGTCATCCGAAGGGCTGTTGTATCTATAAATGTTCCCTCGGTTTTAGAGCCTTGTGGAATATTTGGAAACGATGGCAGGAGACCCGACGGTATGACATTGGTCCCACGGGAGAGAGGTAAAGCCCTAGTGTGGAATGCTACTTGCGTAGACATTTTGGCGGCCTCTCATCTCAGGGGTACCTCGTTTAGAGCCGGGGCGGCATCAGAGGCAGCTGAATTGAGTAAGTGGTGCAAATACGAGTCTCTGAGAAATGACTACATATTTGTGCCTGAGGTTTAAGGTTCTTAAAGGAACTCCATCCGCTACTAGTCGTTGCTTCTGGTGAGAAGAGGGCTGGTTCTTTTCTCGCTCAAATGCTAAGTATAGCCATTCAGCGGGGAAACGCAGTCAGATTATTGGCATGATACCGCGGGGAGTAGGACTGTATGATAATTAAGTTACCTACTAGTTTTAGTTTTTTTTAATTATAGTTTTTAATATTGTACATAATAAAATATTGTATATTATGTTATTTCTATATTATAAATAAAATGATAGAGTGAATGATAGATTTAGGTTTTCTAAAATTTATTTATTAGAAACATAGCCCTTATCGAAAAAACAAATATTGCGATATCTTCATTTAATACAAAGTTATTAAAATTTTAAGAAATAACATTTTTTATAAGTACTATCAAGCAACGCGGACGAAGTCACGGATATCAGCTAGTTGATAATAATGCTATATAGTAAACTGCTTCACAATATGTTGATGCGTACGATAGTATCTCAAGGTGCCTAAACAGACCGACCGAGAATCACATCACCATTGGAGCACTTGTTTTACCGTTTCCACTAATAGTTCACATGCGCTGACATTTAATACACAAAATCGCACCACTTTTACATATCAAAATCCACTTCAAACCATTATTTAAACAATAATACAGGGGCAGCAATCCGCCGTCGCGCTGGTCAAGTTCCCGCAAAAACTCCCTAATAATCATAACCATAGTTATCATTATAGGTAATCGTAATGAAGTGTGAAAGTGAACGCAAGTAAGACGAAAGTTATGGTTTTTGAAAGAGAAGAAAGTAAAACGATATGTGAAATAAGAATAGAAGGAGAGTGGGTAGAGCAAGTAGATGAGTTTGTATATTTGGGATGTGTGTTTAGCAGGGATGGTAGATATGATAAGGATATAGAACGACGAGTGAATGCAGGAAATAGAGTGAATGGGGCTCTACACTCTATTGTGAAAAGTCAGAATGTGTCCAAAAAGGCACGTATGGCAATTCACAATGCTGTGTTAGTACCTACTTTAATGTATGGTAGTGAAAGTTGGGTGTGGCAGAAGAAGCATGAGAGTAGAATAAATGCTGTAGAAATGCGGTCATTAAGGAGTATGTTAGGGATGAAGCTGAATGACAGAGTGAGAAATTGTTTAATAAGAGAAGAGTGTGGTTTGCAAGATGATGTTGTGACCAGGATTAAGAAAGGAATGCTTCGGTGGTTTGGCCATGTAGAAAGAATGAATGAGGAAAGAGTGACAAAGCAAATTTATGTTGCAGAGGTGAACGGCATAGTCGGGAAGGGTCGCCCTAGGTGAAAGTTTATCGACCAAATTGGCGATATATTAAAAATGGGCCAAATCAAGAGTACCTTTAACCGACGAGCGTGTATGCGTAGGTATATGGATGTGGAGGAAGCAAGAGAGGTGTGTCAGGATCGTGCCAAATGGAAGTCCATAATCTCTGCCTACCCCTCTGGGTGGCAGGCGTGAGTGTTTATGTATGTATGTATTTATGTAATGAAGTGTCATTTTTTGTAGAACAAGGGTGAAAAACGAGCACACAGTCCACCTGATGGTCATTTATCCTCAGTTAAGAATCAAAATGCAGATGCGTTGTCACTCCTGAGGACTGAGACGGAATTCCTCGCATCTAGTAAAACTGGTCTCCGATTCTCGACACTCACCATACCAAGCACAGTATTGCTTTTATTACCAGCTGCTATTTTACACTGGTATTCAGTGAGCGTGGTCACCTATCCATCACCACCCGGGTCGAGCCGACCCATTCGTGCTACAACCATAATATTGCAGCAGCGTGGCTCTACCACATTCATTTTTCAATCATTAATCCATTAATGCATTTCATTACCTTACTTGCCTAGGTAGGTACCTACCTACTATTTAACAAACGCGTGATATATATACCTAAGTAATATAATTTTCGTGTCTAGTAATATAACTATAGTCATTTGTAAATATCTAATGTAATAGACCAACAGGCGATTTTGTATCGAGCAGCGATATTACAAAGGAAAGGACCGATCGTAAATGAGGTCTCACGGCGTGTGCGCCTGCACTGTTAGGGTTGTCTGGCATGTGTCGTGATTCGCGACTACATGCAAGCTGCAGCTGAGCATATTTTTCTACATTAATACCTAACTTCTCCCTACGCATCCTACTATCCTACATCCTACTTAATTTAAAAGACGTTTATGAAGCTATTATATTATGAATATGATATTTTATAAAATAATTACGGTTTATTTTCCTTTATAGAGTATTATATTATATGTATACGGTTAGTACTTACCTTTTAAAAATACTACTAATTAATAATATTTGTAAATACTGCACGTAATAAAAAATATCTATTTTATATGATAGTGACAGTAATGATGTTTCAAAAGATGCAGCACATTTTGTTTATATTTTAGACAAATTATACTACATCTTTTACAGATTCTTCTTTTTCTTTAAATCGATAATAAATGGGTATCTTATAATTATTAATCTTCAACTTGAAGAAAATTCTATATCTACTTAGTTATACTGTTATTTTTTCTTTTCAGATGCCAAGCATGGATTAAAGCTTGCCAGAGACCTGATTTGAAAGACAAATGCTTTGAAAGTCTAAAATATCTAAATGTATGTAGCCTTCACTTCGAAAAAAAAATGTACGCAAAAATAAATTTAAAAGTTACTGCTGTTCCAACTTTGAATTTGCCTTCACCAGATGTATCTATCAGCACACAAACAGACCCTTTAATAATTGTACTGACTAGCCGAAGTGTACAGGTTTCTGAAGCTAACGTAGGCACATCTGTACAATCTACAAATACAAACTTTAATGAAAGATCTCAGGGAGACTATGCATCACAAACACCTGCAAAATTAACTGATCACACACCCAGGAAAAGAAATCTTAGACAAAAAGTAGCGGAGCATAAAAGAGAAGCAAAAATATTGAGTCGGAAAACAAAAGTACATATATCGAAAAAGCAGTTCGAAACAGGTTGTGATATATATTTGAATAAGAATTTGAGCAGTATTGTAAAGGCTCACATCAATCTTAAACCTCATGGCAAGCGGAACAGATACAGTAAAGAGTTTAAATTGTTCGCTTTAAACATGTATTATACGAGCCCACAGTGTTACAGATTCTTGGCTAAAACTCTATGTTTGCCTAGCAAAAACACTTTGAGCTCTATGTATATTCCTATGACAACTCATATTAATGAACACATGAGGGACGCGCTATCGGCTACGGCAAAACTTATGTCGCTATCACAAAAAGAATGTGTGATGTGTATGGATGAAATAAGCCTGAAATATTATCTCGGTTACGACCTCAAGCAGGGCAGAATTGTTGGATCGCATGAAGTAGACGGGCAGCAAAGGCCCCTCGCTGCTGAATTTGCCTTCACAATCATGCTTCGAGGTATTACATCTAACTGGAAACAGCCTATTGGGTTCGCGTTTATTTCATCGAGTGAAATTGATGGACAACTGGCTGATTGGATTATGAATATCATGAAAAACCTTTTCACGATGGGTTTCCGAATTAGGGCATTAGTTTCAGATCAAAGATCCGATTTTTTACAATTTGCAAAATCCAAAGGTATTTCGAAAGAAAAGTCATTCTTTAAAATTGATGGAAAAAAGATCTATTACATCTTTGATGTACGACATATAATAAAATGTATACGAAATAATTTGATAAAAAACAATTTCGAATACAACGGAAAGACCGTATCTTGGGACGACATACAAATGTTGTATAATTTGGAGGTAAAAAAAGACATGCGGTCTGTACCAAAACTAACGGATGCCCATATATTCCCCAATAACTTTCAAAGGCAAAAAGTCCGATTCGCGACTCAAGTCTTCAGTAATTCAGTGGTTGCTGCATTAGAGACATATGCTGCTTCAGGACAAATAACACCAGCTAATGGAACAGTTGAATTTATTAAAACAGTTGATAATTTATTTGACTTGCTAAATTCAAGCAACCTTCACTCTCGCAAACCGTACGGTAAACCGTTTCGAGGTGACAGTTCTGAGTTAGAATTGTTGGACCAAGCTCAACATATTTTCAACAATTTAATAATTAAAAACAAAAGAACTGGTAAGGACGTGACCAATACGGTTAAATTTACAAAAACATTGATTATAACTATGAATTCAATTCGCCAAATGCTCGTCGATATGCAGAATGATGGCTACGTATATTTATTTACAAGACGATTAAACAATGATTGTTTAGAAAATTTTTTTAGGTTAATACGCCAAGCAAGTGGTAATTGTCGTAAGCCCACATGCCTCCAATTTACAAGGGCTTTTCGCAAAAGTTATTTTTGCCAGTTAATGCAACTATCTGACGGCAGAAACTGCTCAGAAGATTTTGACAGCATATTATTAAAATATAACAGTTTTTTTAAAAAATAATACAGTCTTAGGATGAGAACAATAAAAACCCAAAGCTTTAAAACTTTGCCTTACATACTTGTGGCTATGTACTGAGGTGTGTACAGAAACATAGTTGACCGGCAATGACAAAATACGCTTCTTCGTACAGCGTACACAACTGAACCGACATTGTTGAATTTGTACTAAGAGAAAGAGCGTATAATAAAACCGTTGATGTGTTTGGTGGTCTACAAGGGGTTCCAGATGATTTTGAAGAATATTGTCACAAATTAGAAAAAGTTTATATCATTAAATTCAACAAAAGATAATTAAAAGAACCCAATAATAAATCTCATAAATATTTGTCGGTTGCACATCTGAAACAAGGCGGCGTGTGTTGAATAAACAGAACCAATGTATAATTTGAACCTGTTTTATTTATTGTTCAGCCCGCTATTCAATATCTTAAGCGGAATACCTGAGATACTGCTTTATAGGTAAAATAGGTATAGTAAAATTAGGTAGGTATCTACCTGCATTCTGTATAAGCACAAGCCTTTGTTGCAACTGGTTTTGTAAAGTAGTAATTAGTTTGTATCTTTGTATAGAAAAACAAATTATACAAGGAATACAGATAAAATATAATGTTATATTTATTATTAGGAATTTAGGAAATGTTTTTTGTGACAACCCTTAAATATTTTTTTTAGCGACTTGACGTCGAGACAGCCTTGTAGAGTAAGTATTTTGCGGTATTACAAAGGAGTAGAGTTGACTCATTATTAGTATTTATTACACATATGCCTAATGCCTATATATGATATTATCTACGAATGTACAATAATGGTAGCCCTATAACATATCCTACGCCGTTGATACCTCCTGAATTTATTTTTGTACAATTAAAAGTGACCAACGAGTACATAGTTCTCCTTATGATAAATGCCACAGCCATTGATACCAACATTATACCTGAAGACAAACTAATCAAGATACCAGTAAAATGGGACAAAATGCGGATCTTGTCACCATACCATATATTATCAATTTAATTAATTAAAAAATGAAGCTTTTTTAATAATAAGTAAAAACCCACTGCATGATCTAAAAAAAATTCTCAATATGGCTTCTGAAGTCAGTGCTAAGACATAGAGCATCGAAGAAATAAAGCCCGCCGACTTTAAAGGCTAACATGTGGATTATTGTTTTGGTTCTTTTAAAATTTGATTTTTACTTTTATTAATCTAGGAAATAAGACTATAAGACTAAGGAATACCACGAGCTCAAGATAACAACTCGCTGTGTAGTGGCGGCGTAAAAATATCTACTGCCACATATCATCTCGCGGAAGTCATAGGAGGCAACTAGAGTATATAAAATGGACATGGGCAGCAGCAACTTTCTGATAACTCAAAAATAATAAATAACCGTCTAAGCGCGAGTCGGAGTCGCGCATGAAGGGTTCCGTACCGTCATAATACACATCTCTAATAGGGGAGGCCCTTTTAATTTTCATTATTTGTTTTGTTATAGCGGCAACATGAGTACACATTCTGTGAAAATTTCAACTATTACGGATCATGAGATACAGCCCGCTGACAGATATAAGGACGGACAGCGGAGGTTTATTTATAGGGTCTCGTTGGTTACCCTTTGGGTACGGAACCCTAAAAACTATGGTTGCTAATTCGCCTGTCGAGCATGGCAAAAATCCATGATGCAACTTTTTTTATAGAACAAGGGTGACAAGTGAGCACACAGTGCCAAGATAAGTGGATGTCGTGGCTCATAATTTATCTCTTTATCCTCGATTAAGAATCAAAATGCAAAAATTCGTTGTCACCCCTGAGGATTGAGATGGAATGCCTCGTTTCCAAAAAGGGTCTCCGGTTCTCTACACTCACCATATGAAACACAGCAGCATTAAGCTGCTATTTAACACTGGTATTCTGATGGGTGGTTCGACCCCGGTCAAGCGGACCCTTTCGTGCTACAACCATAATATAGCTGCAGCGTGGCTCTACCACGTATATTTCTAGGAGAGGATTAAGTATAGCAGTGAACTTTTGACACTGCAGGCTGTATAATGAATGAAAAAACGTGACAACTAGACAGTTGTCTAAACAATTACATTAAAAAACTTGACCTATTTGATGAAGTCATTAAAATCGATTCACAATTGGCGAAAATATCCCATTATATACATACAAAAACATACAGTTGAATTAAGAACCAAGTCTTTTTTGAAGTTGCTAATATATCGTTTATTTATTTATTTTTTATTGTAACACCTTACAACTAAGGTAACCATGTGCGAACTTAATGCCTGTCGGCATTCTCAGCCTGTCACCCCGTAGCGTGCTGAGTCTATTGTGCGTACAAAAATAAAATACAAGAAATAAAACAATATTTGTTGGCAGGTACAACTTTGTTACGCAGCCCTAATCCAGGCAATCTGCTGCGTTGCATCGGCTTACGACGATCACGAGGCGCCGTGTCAGCATAACGTGTCTACTGTCTTATATTACCTGGATCTAATATTTTACCGTGTGAATCCATTCTACATTCAAACATCGAATTAGAGTCACCTCACTTAGTTATAAGAATTAATTGTAATAATTACTTTAAATTAAATATATATTAAATAAAGATTGCTTTTTTTTTGCAACCTCTGGCTGGAGCCCACATAATTGGCGCAGTCGGTAGGATCTTCTAAAGTAGAGTCAGTGAATCAAGAGTGACCAAGAAGATACAGAACCTACGGGAGCACCAGTCCAGAGGCGAATCCAGGCATTGATTCCGCAAGAAGAAGTAATGCTGTAAGTGCTTGAATCTTTCAATCCTTACCCTTCCTAGTTCCGTAATTAATTTTTTACTCTATCCTAATTTTATATACACCTTTTTTTTCTATTGTATTTTATTGCATTTTAACTGTGTTAGTATAAAGCTTCCAAAATTTTCCATCCAAGGGGAACACGGAACGTTAGGTTAGATAGTAGTAGGATTTCTAAGCTTAGTATTATAGACGAGAACAGAGGTTTAGAGACCGATAGTATGGCCCAATCAAATGAAATAGACCTAATTTATAAGTCACTTAGAGTTTTGCCCGAATTTGACGGTAACCCGTACATCCTTACGCGCTTTATTAACCTGTGCGATCAACTTGTGTTAGCCCACGTAAGAAATGAGCCCGGATACGAACTAGCCAATCTTTCTCTTATTAACGGGATTTTAAATAAAATAACGGGATCCGCGGCTAGGCTAATAAATTCGAATGGAATACCCGAAACCTGGGCCGGCATCAAAAGCGCTCTTATAAATAACTTCGCCGACCATCGCGACGAAACCGCATTATACAGTGATTTATCACTACAAACCCAAGGGTCTAGTACCCCGCAAGAATTTTACGAGCGAGTCCAAAGTTTATTTAGTACAATAATGACCTATGTCACTTTACATGAAACCATTAGTACGACAATTGAAGCTAAGCGCGCACTCTATAAAAAACTGACCTTGCAAGCTTATTTACGCGGATTAAAAGACCCCCTAGGGTCTAGAATAAGATGTATGCGTCCCGAAAGTATGGAGAAAGCACTTGAATTCGTACAGGAGGAATTAAACACCCTTTACCTCCAACAACGAAATGAAGGCAGCCAGAACAGGAAAGAATGGACTCAATCTACCCCTAGCTCTAATCTACCATTAAATCATTTCGTTCCAAAACCTACCACATTTAACATGCCGTCACTACCTAGACCACAGGGTAATAATATACTGAACTCGTTTAGACAGCCACCTATGCAACCGCATGCTGCACAGGGTTGGAGGCCCAATCTACCACCCCAGATGCATGTACCACGCGGACCCACTCGTACGCAACAGATGATGCGTGCTCCTCCACCAAATTATAACCCCCAGAGTAATGTGTTTAAGCTTCCTAACAGACCTCAGCAACCACAGGGCTTCAATTTAAATAATAATTCGCGCCCTTCTCCTATGAGCGGTGTCACTCCCTTTGTTCCGAAACCCTTACCACCGACTGGACATGACTGGAGACGATTTGGCAACCCACCGCCGAGCAATTACTTTAAAACACGGGAGGTAAACTTTAACGAGACGGATTTTGACTACGACTATAGCACCGACGCGTACTATGAATACGACTATCCTGACTATAACTATAATCAAGAGTACTGTACTTACGAACAATATCCTAACTATGGATACGAGCCACCGTATAACCACGCGGAAGCTCCTATCGTAGAGGAAGTAGAGACTAATTTCACCCCGACTAATGATGAGGATTTTCGGAAGTGCCCCAAACCAGAAAAACAAAAATAGAAATAAATTTCCACATACAAAGGCAACTCGGTTACATTCAGACAAGTAATCCCCCACTGAAATTCTTAATAGACACCGGCGCAAACCAATCGTTTATTAGTCCCGAAGCTGTAAGAAAATATTTTAGCCATATTCCACTGAATTATGACCCATTCGAAGTCACCAATGTTCACGCGACAAGTAAAAACGATTATTCTATAACTCTCCCATGCCCTTTAGAATTTAATGAACGAGATAATATAACCTTGTTCATTTATAGATTTCATAATTACTTCGACGGACTGATAGGGTTTGATTTACTAGACATATGGGGTTCTAATATCGATCTTAGAAATAAATTACTTATTACTCGTAACGCAAAAATCCCCATCGAAATGTATGACTCACGTAACGCAAATTTATATGAAGAAATTATACCCGCGCAGTCATCAAAATTAGTTAGGTTGCCTATAAACTCAAAGGACGGTGACGTAGTAGTTGAAAATCAAATAATTTGCAACTGCATAATCTCTGATTGTATAACGAAAGTAATTAATAATCGTGGTTGGGTCGAAATTACCAATAATAGCTCAAATGATGTAATTTTTTCAATGGACCGTCCGGTAGAAGCCGAAATATATAATGTCGAGTGCCAGTTTACTGAAACGTTATCGGATCGCGCTAAAAATGTTCTATCCCGTCTTCGCACCGATCATCTT